CTGAGAGTCAATCATGGCAATAACAGAGGGAAAAAAAAAAAAAAAAGAGAGAGATGGAGAATAGGTAAGTGGAGATGCTAAAGGGAGATGTGTGAAGAGATCAGAGGTCAGGGTCAGAAGGTCCCCGGGTTGTGAAGATCATGGAAGATCAAGGATCAGGGGCGGGTAAATGGGGCAGGAACTGAGTGAGGTGAATGGTTCCATTCCCCCTTCAACACACATTCGCTCCACCCACCCTGTGCACAGTCCTGGGCTGGGTGGTGCCAGCGACACGGCAGTGAGCAATCCATTTCAGTGGAGTTCAAAGCATTCAGCATCCTTGGGCACAGGTGTCTATGCATTCACTCAGCAGAGAACTACGGAGCACCCGCCAGAGCATCTGTCAGGCACTGAATTTACAAGGCGTGGCTCTGCCCTCATGGGGCTCAGCGAGTGCTGGGAAAGGCCAGAGTCCACTGTTCAGGAGTGTATGAAGCTGTCAATCAAGAGAGGAGCCAGGGGGCCAGGCAGGAATAAGGGGCCTAGGAGGTGGCTAAGGGTTAGGGGTTTCTAAAGGTCAGGGAGGGGTGCCATGGGGTCAGAACAGATGTGGAGCCAGCCAGTCACTCCCGGAGCTGCACAGACACAGAGGAGTCGGTCACCCGTGTCCGCCGCAGCCCGCCAGGCTCCCTGCGGTTCTTGGCCTTGTGCAGGAAGTGGATGAAGCGCACGCCGGAACCATAATGACGGAATACGTGGGACACCTGTGGTGACAGCACCCGGAGTTAGGGAGGAGCCTTTTTTGAGGACCCGAGGACCTGCTCTCCTCCCTCTGTGAGGTCTTGGGAGAAGAACACATGTCTGGGGTGGAAGCCTGGGGCTGGGAGTCTCACCTGGACCCAGCGGCCAGGGGGGCCTCTCCCAGAAGTCCGGGGGGCCACGTGGTGCTGAGCAATGACTGTGCGGCGGTCGGCCGCCAGCAGCCAGACGTGCAGCTCATAGACGCACGTGTCCAGCCGGCTGTCCTCAAACCTGCAGGGGAGTCCAGGCCTTCAGCTGCCACTGCAGTCTCAGCTGCGCAGCCCCACCCCCGGCCCTGGTCCCCATTCAGCACACATGCTGCCACTCACTCTGTGCACAGCCCTGAGCTGCGGGGTGCTGGCAACATAGCAGTGACCAAGACAGCCCCACACCCATGCACACAGGATTCATAGTCCAGTGAGGGAGGCGGGCATGCCACCAAACATGACAGCCAGGAATGGTCAAGACTGGGATGGGGAGCACAGGCAGAGGCGTCAGGGCCAGGATGGGGGGACCCATGCAGAGGGATCAGGGCCTGAACTGGGGACCCAGGCAGTGGGGTTGGGGCTAGAATTAGGGACCCAGGCAGAGGGGTCAGGGCCAGGATGGGGGGACCCACGCAGAGGGGTCAGGGCCTGAATTGGGGACCCAGGCAGTGGGGTTGGGGCTGGAATTAGGGACCCAGGCAGAGGGGTCAGGCCCAGAATTGGGGACCCAGGCAGAGGAGTTGGGGCTGGAATTGGGGACCTAGGCAGAGGGTTTGGGGCTGGAATTGGTGACCCAGGCACAGGGGTTGGGGCCGGAATTGGGGGCACAGAGAGGTTGGGACCGGGACTGGGGAGCACAAGGCACTGGATAAATGCACCTGGCCCAGCTGAGGGGTTTTCAGGGAAGGCTTCCTGGTGGAGCTATGTGTAAGTGACTGCTAAGGAATAAGAAGGAATTTGTCTTGAGAATAGAGGGCAACAGACTTTTAAGAAATAAGGAATAGGCCGAGCAGTGTGGCTTACTCCTATAATCCCAGCACTTTGGGAGGCTGAGGTAGACAGATCACTTGAGGTCAGGAGTTCGAGACCAGCCTGGTCAACATGGAGAAACCCCATCTCTACTAAAAATACAGAAATTAGGCGGGCATGGTGGCGCGCACCCAGTTACTTGGGGAGGCTGAGGCAGGAGAATTGCTTGAACCTGGGAGGTGGAGGTTTCAGTGAGCTGAGATCGCACTACTGCACTCCAGTGTGGGTGACAGAGTGAGGCTCTGTCTCAAAAAAAAAAGAAAGAAAGAAAGAAAGAAAAAGAAATAAGGATCAGCTTCAGTCACTCCCTGGCACATTTCAAAATCTGAAAGACTCAAAGAGAATGGGCCAGGAAGGTAGGCAGGGCAGGAGCCTGCAGCACCAGGAAGGCCTTGATGGGGGCTGAGAACATGGGGAACTGGGGTAAGGCTCACGCTCTGGGCAGCCCTGCGTGATCGGGGGTGAGGCTGCAGGGCAGGGGCACGTACCAGTCCATGACGGTAATGTCTGGCTGCTCGTCATCCAGCAGCTCCTCCCACAGGCCCTCAGCCAGGAGGTCCACGCACTGCTGCTTCACGGTCCAGCTGCAAACAAGGGGCCGGGAGAGGCGGGGTCTGCGATCTGCTGGGGTCCCAGGGATCTCCAGGAAGCAGGAAGCGCTGTCTCAGCGCTTTCTTAGGGAGAGCTTGAGTCCCACATGTAGGGTGCTCCCTCAGCACCTTTCAGTCTCAGTCCCCATGGGCCCCTCTGAGGACAATGCGTCCTGAACCCCATGCCACAGACGTGGAACCTGAGGCTGAGGATGGAGATGTGCCCAAGGTCAAGCAGCAAATGTGGCAGAGCCAGGATCCCAGCCTTGGCCTGTGTCACCGAGCCACTGAGTCACATCAGCTCATCTACTGTGCAGGAGCAAGGCTTGTTTCCTGGAGGACGGAGTGGCCTGGGTGATCCTCCCCTCCCAGGGAAAGAGCCTTAGAATGATTACAACAGTAACAGTAATGGCCAGGCGCGGTGGCTCACGCCTGTGATCCCAGCACTTTGGGACGCCATAGGCGGGCAGATCACTTGAGGTCAGGAGTTTGAGACCAGCCTGGCCAACATGGTGAAACCCTGTCTCTATTAAAAATACAAAACTGAGCTGTGCGTGGTGGCTCGCAGCTGTAACCCCAGCTACTCAGGAGGCTGAGGCAGGAGAATTGCTTGAACCTGGGAGTCAGAGTTTGCAGTGAGCTGAGATGCCTCCCCTGTACTCCAGCCTGGGCGACAGGGGGAGACTTCATCTCAAAACCAAAACCAAAACCCAGTAATAGCTGCTATGGACTGGTGCTAGCCAGGCCTGGCCGGGCCCTATGCTGTGTGTTTTACAGGCATTCTCTCTTGTGCTGACGCTGTTTACAGAGCAGGAAATAGAGGCCCAGAGAGGCCAAGTCAGTTTCTCCAGGTCTCACAGCGAGGAAGGGCAGAGCCGGAATTGGAGCACGGGCCACAGCGGTCCTGACGACTCACCTTAGGTTCTGCTGGAGTTTCTCGGTTCTAATGAACCAGCCGCGGAAATTCCCTGCAGGTTGGGGAGCAAAGGGTTAGAACACCCCAACCCTGGAGGACCCTCCTCACCCTCAGCAACCCAGCCTCCAGACACTTACCCAGAGTCTCCAGGGGTCGCTGGGTGGGACCAGTAGGGGGCGCTGGCTCATAAATGTTGATGCCTGAAACGCACAAGTGAGTGGAGCCTCCGGCCAGCCCCTCCACCCTCCACGGCCTCACCCCTCCCTACCCGCAGGGCTACACTGGAAGGGCAGGAATCTGTGCCGGGTCGGGGCAGCTGGGCAGGGATAAGGGATAAGGGGGAGGGCGATGCCAGGGGAGTAAGCAGCGTGTGGTGAGACAGAGACAGAGGAACAAAGAGAAGAACCCAGAGAAAGAGACAGGCCAAGAGTTTGAGACCAGCCTCGCCAACATGGCAAAACCCTGTCGCTACTAAAAATACAAAAATTAGCCGGGTGTGGTGGTGTGTGCCCATAGTCCCAGCTACTCAGGAGGCTGAGGCAGGAGAATGGCTTGAACCTGGGAGTTGAAGGCTGCAGTGAGTTGAGATGCCACCACTGCACTCCAGCCTGGGTGACAGCAAGACTCCATCTCAAAAAAAAGAGAGAGAGAGAGAGAGACAAAAACATAGGCAGAGGGGAGAGAAAGAGGAGAGAGAGAGAGAGGGAGAGGCGTGAGACAAAGAGGTAAGTGAGAGACAAGAGAGAGACGGGGTAAAACGGAGAGGCACAATGACAGAAGAGGAGACAGAGGGATGCAGAGAAATGCAGAGACAGAGAGAGACAAAGAGAGAAAGAGAGCTAGGAAAACAAAGAGGGAAAGAAGAGACAGACGGTCAAGGTGGTGCCTCCCGGCTGCTCTGCTCGGGGAAGTGCGCACCTTCGGGGTTGGGCGATCGCAGCAGGTTGCGGTAGAGCGGCCTCCGAAGCAGGAGCAGCTTCCAGGTGAGGCGCGGGGGCAGGTCCAGGGTCCCGCTCAGCGGCCCCCACTTCTCCAGCAGCAGCTGCCGCGCGTGGGCCTCGGATGGCTGCTCCGGCTCGGGGAGCTCGGGGGTCTCCGGGGTCTCTGGGGCCGCGGGCGATGGCGGCGACGGCGGCGGTGACGGCGACCGTGGCGAGGGGGGCAGCTCCTGGGGGTTCGCGGGCCCGTCGGCCTCCATCCTGCCACCGAGCGCGCGTCCTTCGCGCACCTCCTCCATCCCTCGAGGCTGCGCGACTGTCCCGGTTAGGCTGGGCTGGGTTAACTAGGAGCGGGAAGGGGTAGGGCACTCCGGCTGGCATTTAAGGGAGGGGCGTGTCGGGGGAGGATCTTGTCCCTCAGACCCAGGAGTCCAGGCCCCAGCCCCTCCTCCCTCAGACCCAGGAGTCCAGACCCCAGCCCCCTTCTTAGGTCCCCAGACTTCCTGCCCTAATTTTCCCCAGGGCCAGCTGAGGACCCAGTGTGGGCCTGGCAGAGCGTGTGACGAATGTCCTCACCTGGGACACCCCCTTGGGGCCCTGACATGTCCTGTCCAGAAAACCAAGGTGAGAAGAGCAGAGAGACACCCAAAACCAGAGATGAGGAGCCTCAGAGATGGGGGACCCAGGGAGGCACAAAGATGGCAGTGAGAGGGAAGCAGTGACCCCAACTGGGTGTTCTGGGGACCAGTACCCCTGCTCGGTACTAGGGCAGGGGGCTGCAGAAGCTTCCTCCATCAGAGGTCATGGGAGGTGGGAGCGAGGGCTAGTGTGCAGGTGGGGACAGGAGGTCAGGTGTGGAGGAAGTGGGATGGCAGAGAAACCTGTAGGGCCAGATGCCCACTGCCACTTCCTGTCCTTGGCCACATCCCTCTACCTGGCCCAGGTGAGCTCAGGCGCTGAGCTGATGATCAGTGACATTCACCACAGTGAGGGCTGGCTTGCTTGCTCTCTCTTTCTCTCCATCTCTCTCTTTCTTCTTCTCCTTCCTTCCTTTCTTGTCTCTCTCTCTTTCTTTCTTTTGACGGAGTCTCACTCTGTCACCCAGGCTGGAGTGCAGTGGCGAGATCTTAGCTCACCGAGACCTCTGCCTCCCCAGGTTCAGGCGATTCTCCCGCCATAGCCTCCCGAGTAGCTGGAATTACAGGCATGCGCCACCATGCCCAGCTAATTTTGTATTTTTAGTAGAAACGGGTTTCACCCTGGTCAGCCTGGTCCCAAACTCCTGACCTCAGCTGATCCACCCACCTGGGCCTCCCAAAGTGCTGGGATAACAGGCGTGAGCCACCACACCAGGCCCACAGTGAGCGCTTTCTGTTAAGCGCTTCTAAGTTTATTTCATTCTCCTACAAAGACAAAGTGGGTGCTACTATGATTGGCATTTTATAAGTAAAAGAAAAGTAAGGCCAGGCGCGGTGGCTCACTACCTACAGATCAGGGAACCGAGGCAAGAGAGGTGAAGTGACTGCCCTGGAAAGTGGGGGATTAACCAGTGCCTGGGGGGAAAACCAGGGGAGGGGGCAGATCCCGCCACTGCACTCCAGCCTGGGCGACAGAGTGAGACTCCACCTGAAAAAAAAAAAAAAAAAAGAAAAAGAAAAGTAACAGCAAACGTGTGTGTGCAGCCGTGTGCTGGCGGTGCCCTCTGGGATGGGTCTTACCAATACAACAACCCCGTGACAAGTGCCATTATTATTCCCATTTTACAGATGAGGAAACAGAGGCCACCTTCCCAGACCAGGTCCCATACGGTCCCAGATCACGCCACATACTTCCACAGGCACCTCCTGCCCCATGCGCTCAGACACTCACAGACACTCAGGGCGGGGGACAGAAGTCACACCCTAGTGATGATGATCATGAAATTGAGGCTGCCCGTGTGCCAGGCATTGCAGTAAGTCCCTTAGGTGCAAGGGACTTAGGTAATTAATCAGGTAATTATTTGTCTCCACATCCACCCTAGGAGGTAGAAATGACTAGGAAGTGGCATAACTAGGAGGTCACACCCATTTTGCAGATGAAGAAACTAGGCACAGAGAGGTCTAGTAACTCACCCAAGGCTGCACAGCTGGTACACAACAAGTTAGAGACACTCACAAACAGAATCTTAGAGAACATGCACAGGGACACAGATTGAAATTGCCCCCAGGGGCTGGGGTCCGTGGCTCACACCTGTAATCTAACACTTTGGGAGGCTGAGGCTGGAGGATCACCTGAGCCCACGAGTTTGAGACCAGCCTGGATGACATGGTGAGACCCCATCTCTACAGAAAAATGAATAAATTATTTGAGTGTGGTGGAGCACACCTGTGGTCCCAGCTACTCAGGAGGCTGAGGTGGGAGGATCGCTTGAGCCCAGGAAGTCAAAGTTGCAATGAGCTGAGATCGCATCCCCAAATCCTAGCCTGGGTGACAGAGGCCGGGCACAGTGGCTCACGCCTGTTATCCCAGCACTTTGGGAGGCTGAGACGGGCAGATCACTTGAGGTCAGGTGTTCAAGATCAGCCTGGCCAACACAGTGAAATCCCCATCTCTTCTAATAGAAAATAAAATACAAAAATAAAAAATAAAAAAAAAATTAGGCAGGCGTGGTGGTGCATGCCTATAGTCCTAGCTATTCAGGAGGCTGAGGCAGGAGGATCACTTGAACCTGGGAGGTAGGGGTTGCAGTGAACCGAGATCGTGCTACTGCACTCCAGCCTGGGTGACAGAGTGAGACTCTGTCAAAACAATAACAACAACAACAATTCACCCCTGGGGAAAAAACACAGGTTCACACAGAAGCAAGCAGGAGATGATGGTTACATTTACTGAGTCCTGGACTCTGAACTTCACAAGCTGGCAGAGGAGGAAACTGGTAATTGTGTCTCTACTGACAGACCAGGGAACTGAGGCAAGAGAGGTGAAGTGCCTGCCCTGGAAAGTTGAGAATTAACCCTTGCCTGGGGGGTGGAGAAAAACCAGGGGAGGGGGGAGCAGATGAACAAACACTGCGATTGGAAGTCCCCAGCAGATTCCCAGGCAAACACTGGCAGAGCCCAGGACACAGGCACGGCCAGGGACGCTCCCCCGCCACCACACACACACAAACCCACACCCTTGCCCTGGCTGCCCGCCCACCCTGCTTCAGACCATCATCACGATGGGGGAGGAGGCGGAGTGTCTGGTGAGTGGAGTCAGAGCTGTGCCAGGTCAGAATCCAGGGCAGGGAGTGGCTGGAAGCCGGAAGAGACCAGGACGGAAGAGCAGCCAGGCAGCCAGGAGCGTGGAGAGCGGTGGCAGGGTGCCGTGGTTTGGTCCTGTCATTGCAGCGCTTAGGGAGGTGGAGGCGGGCAGATCACTTGAGCCTAGGAGGAGGATACCAGCCTGGGCGACTTGGCGAGACCCCGTTAGCCAGGCATAGTGGCACATACCTGTAGTCCCAGCTGCTTGGGAGGCTGAGGCAGGAGGATTGTTTGAGCCTGGGAGGTGGAGGTTGCAGTGAGCTGAGATGCCACCACCACTGCGCCACAGCCTGGGCGACGGAGGAAGACCCTGTCTCAAAAAATAATAATAATAGTCAGGGCTCGGTGGTTCGTGCCTGTAATCTCAGAACTTCGGGAGGCTGAGGCGGGCAGATCACTTGAAGTCAGGAGTTCGAGACCAGCCTGGACAACACGGTGAAACCCCATCTCTACTAAAAATACAAGAAATTA